TAATTCAACAAGTCAATATGTGTGAGTAAAAACCTTTTAAGAAAAGGAGGCATGCTAAACATGCTATATTGAACATATGGGTAATTTTGGGAGGAAAGAGTTCTCAGTTCCCATTCTGAATTACTAAAATCTATTCAAAACAAAATGTATGTTCAAATGAATGTTTATTGGCTTCTGTAGAAGTTCAAGGCAAGTGTTAAGGATAGGAGTACGTATATTCCATTTCTACAAGTTGAGAAACCACCCAAGTATATCCCCATGTGCTTCTTTGTTGCTCTCTCAAAATAAGACAACTTTGTATATATCCATTAGAGAAGATCAGAGATGTTACCATAAAGTCTCCATTTCACGTAAGGTACACATTAAATTTTGGAGATAGGGTTAATTGTCTAAAATAACAAAATAACAAATCAGTACATACTAGTGCATCACAGTTAAACACACAGGTATAGATAATATTATTTAATATACCATGTGCACTTATTTTGGTTATTTTTCTCATTGAAATAAATAAGGCACACACACACACAAGTCAAAGAAAGGTTTGTGCAGGGAACTGCCAAGCGCTGTTCTTTCAAAGAAGGGGGCTTAGGGTGGAGAGTTCAGATAAATCCCATTTTGGCTTATAATTCCCAGAACCAAATAGCTGCTAGGGTTTGTGGGAGCTGTAGTCCTCAGAGTAATATTCTTAAGCTCTGGGCCTAGGCTGCCTTCTGCTCTCTTGCTTGCTACACCACTACAATTGGTGGTACCTCTAGAGGAGCCTTTGTCAACCTGGGGGTCGGGACCCCTGGAGGGGTCGCAGAGGAGTCACCAATGTTAATCAGAAAATACCTATTTCTGATAGTCTTAGGAAGCCCTTTGGCAGAGAAGGCTGGATGTAGGTGAACTACAACTCCAGAACTCAAGGTCAATGCCCACCAAACTTTTCCAATATTTTCTGTTGGTTATGGGAGTTCTGTGTGCCAAGTTTGGTTCAATTCCATCACTGGTGGAGTTCAGAATGTTCTTTGATTGTAGGTGAACTATAAATCCCAGCAACTATAACTCCCAAAGGACAAAATCAACACCCCCTCCCCAACACCACCAGTATTCAAATTTGGGCATATCGGGTATTGGTACCAAATTTGGTCCAGCGAATGACATCCTGCATATCAGATATTTACATTATGATTGATACAGTAGCAAAATTACAGATATGAGGTAGCAATGAAAATAATTTTATGGTTGGGGTCACCACAATATGAGGCATTAGGAAGATTGAGAACCACTATTCTAGAGAAACCATTCTCACGACACTTTCTCAAAGTAAGTGCTATCTAACTGAGCAAATAGAACATTATGGTCTTTTCTTGACGACTGCCCTGAACACACAGATTTCTTCCCATGGATATGATTTTTTTTTTAAAAAAAAAAATGAGCTAATTTTTGGTTGCTAAGGCATCTGAGTGGTTTTTAAAAAACAAAGCTTAAAGATTTACTGTGCTTGAATTATTTAAACCATTTCAGCAGGATTTGGACTGAAATCATGATTATTTGCCTTAAGCCTGTAAGAAGAAATGAGATTCAACTTGCTGTGTACACCCGCCCTTCCAAAGGAAGCCAGATAATTCTCAGGACGCCCCATTGCTACATATTAGATCACAGATTTGAATGCTAGAGACCCCTGGAGTAGCTTTTCATGCAGCAAAAGGGGATAGAGTTTGAACAGTGTTAGGGTCCAACTCATGAACCAAATGTCCTTGATATATTTGTGTAACTTTGGACTCTCCCCTTTTTGATTTCTGAAATAATAAACTCTTTCTTCCCCCACTAAAACACATTATCAGAACTTGCAAAGGTTACTTGTTGAGTACAAGTAACTTTTCTGAGTTCTGAGAAGTCCACTGCAGTTTGCAAAAATTTGACCTTGGAGGCTCATTATTTAAGCCAGCAATTCCACCTAAAAGGCAGCCAGAACTCAATGTTTCCATTAGCAAGTACAAAGAATATGCAAGTTTGCCTCATTCTAATTCTGAGTTCAGGCTTACAGCTTCTTTTCTTTCGAAAACTTGGAACAAAACCTGAGCCATTTTGAAAACCAGGAGATTGAAGAAAATACTATACCTTTCAAATGAGCAAGATCATCAAATAACAGATGAAATATTGAGACTAACCATCCAAATCTGGGTTTGCAGTTCTCATTAACCTTACCCAGTGTGTCTAACTGTTAAGGATTGTGGGAGTTGTAATACAAATAACTGAAAGGCTATCAATAAATATAAAGAGTAAAAATGAACCCAAATAGAGACACAAAGCATGCTGGCATTTAGAGTTCTAACTTACGTGTTCCTGATGAACTTGTTTTCTAAAGGGATTTTGTTATATATGGAGCACTTTTTGTTACATAAAACAAACCTCTGTAGCCTTACAGGCCTTAGTTTACACTGAACAGTTCCCAGATCTGTTAAGCTTCAGCCTTTCTTTTGTCAACTAATATCACCTAGGATCAGCTTGGAAAATTACTACAACTATATTTTCAGTTCTGCTTCACTCCCAAGTCAGGATCCATGGTGACTTACAAAAGCTAAAACAGATGCAGCAAAAATTAGGATTGCTGAATGAGAACTTTCAGAACCTGAAAACTGTAGTCGGGAAAAAAATTCTGAAGATCACTGCTGTCTATAGTAGCTGACAGATGCAGTCAAACAGAAGAAGCAGGCAAGTGAATTGTAGGATACGATAAAAGCAATGGTTGGTGTGCTTTGATATATGCTCAAGTTAGAAATTCACTTTTTAAAAAAGCAATCATTGTATGTCTCACTTACTGAATTGTTCACATTCAAGCAGAATTAGGAACCTTTTTTGGCCCTCCAGATGCTTTGATTTACCTTCCCCAATAATCCCTTATTGTTGGCCATGCTAGCTGGGGCTGATGAAAGTCAAAGTGCAAAACATCCGGATAGTTTCCTACTTCTGCTCTACAGGGTATTTAAATTGTTTGAAATGGGTTTTTTTTAAAGGTCAACTATTTCCTACTAGGTCTGGGCAACCACAGAAAAATTTGTTTCTAAACTCGATTCGTTTTTAGGGGGTTTTTGCGTTTCGATTTTTTAAAAGAATTCCGAAATTTTTCTTTTAAAAAGTTCGATATTTACGAAATTTCGTAAATTACAAAACAATACGAAACAATTTCGAAACAATAACGAATCGATTCGTTAATGGCGGACGCGACTGCACAATACGCTAAAAAACCTCCAAATGGGACAGGGGGAACTTCTGAAGCTTCCCTCTCCCTCTGTTGTTGACTGTTGGTGTGATATTATAATTTTTTTTCACTAATTAAACAAAAAACAACTATAAAACTTGCCCCAGACATGCGGAAATAATAACGAAATGACCTCAAACCAATAACGAAACGAATACATAACGAAATACGAAGCATTTACGAAACGAATTGAAAAATTCGTTTCGTTTTTAAGTTGCTCCAGAATGGTTCGTTATCGCTTCGTTAACAAAAAAATAACGAATTTTTAACGAATTACGAATTAACGAAACGAAACCGCCCAGCCCTATTTCCTACCTAAAACATACATTTGCAATGGAAAACAAGCATGAAACGTATTTGGATCTTCTTGGGCTAAGTCGGTGCTATTACCAATTTGAGTAGATCCATGGTTATGAATGAGACTTTGGCAGAAGTAATATAAATTCCACTGATTTCAAAGCACGGTTTGTACTAACATCAAACTGAGACTAACACATACTAGAATATATCCTTTATATAGATATCCTTTGTAAACACTAAGCTGAAGGACACAGGCTGTCACATGTACCAATCTATAGTCTACATTGGTTTTTTAAATTACTTTTCCAAATACATTCCATGCAGGGAATGTGATGTCAAAGAAGGTTAAACTGACACCATTGCATGTAACCCATTTGAAAGTGATACAGAGGGCCCTTCCAGACAGGCCCTACATCCCAGGATCTGTTCCTAGGTTTTCTGCTGGATTATATGAGTCTGCACTGCCAGATAATGTGGGATAAACAGACCTTGCAGTTCAAACACAAAAGTAAATAATTTTTTTAGATTTCCAGTAGGAAAATTGGCAGCAGAAGGTTACCTCTGTGGAGGTAACAGCCATTGGCAACAATTCAACTGAACAAGTTTTGTTTCACACACCACTTAAAATATGCTTGGAATAAGCTGAAATGCACTTGCATCCTCTTTGAAACTTTTGGCATTAATAAAAGTTGGCCTCTTCCTCATCCTGAGGTATATCAAGGTTCTGTTTTGATACTTTTCATAAACCAGATATTTAATAAGCAATTTACACAGGCTGAAACCCAGCTGCCATTTGCATCTAAAGTAGATTCACTCATTTAATTCCTAAGTCAACACTTGTGTAAATCTCATTGATTCCTTTGGTTTACTCTAGATGAGGTAGCAATTGAACTTAGGCCACAAGCCAAAATGAAACCTTGTGGTATCTCTGTAGCTGCTGTATACATTCAACTACTTATCCTCTTCTCATCCCATAACAACTAACATAGGCTTCTTCGACACAGCTGAATAAAATCCCACATTTTCTGCTTTGAACTGGAATATATGGCAGTGTGAACTAAGACAAATCAGTGCAAAGCAAATATTGTGGGATTTTGCACCTTGATATTCTGGGTTATATGGTAGTGTGAAAGGGTCCATATTGGTTCATATCCTGAAATTTCCAATCTCACTTTTCTCTGACACTGGCAAGGAAGAAAAAATGTTGTGCCAACTAAGAAGGAAGGAAAATTATCTCTTTGATTTTAGCTGCACATATCCCATACATCCAGTTCTTGACAAATATTCACATACTAATCAGCATTCATTTATGCTTTCTTCTCTTAACATGCTTTACTTCTGTAAATTTTGCAGCATTTTGACATGTGAACAGTCAACATTTAGAAACAGCTTCATTACATTAGAAACCTTTCCTTTTACAGAATCATTGGAAGAAGAATGACAAGCAGCCCAGTTTAATTTCAAACGTTAATATATTTTCTATTTTATAGGGAACATATGTATCTTCCACCCCTTATTTGCAGCAACTGTGACATCCTCATAAAAAGGGGTGAAATTTGTAAGATGCCTCTTAAAATAAATATTTCTTTTTTTATAAAATAATAAAACTTCAAATAAATATTCTTTACACTAAACAATATGTTGAAAAAAAATTAGAAAATAAAGACTGGATTTTACTGTAACTGTACAATATACATGAAGTCCAAAAGGGAAATGGGGAAATCAGAGTCTTCAGGGGCTTCTGTAAGGCAAAATACAATCTAAAACATACTGATTGATTTCACATTCTTTTGAATGTACAACATATTAGTATAATATTTTGTGACCTGTGCCATATATTCTATGACACTCATGTTTTCACAGTTGAAAATATCCTATATACAAAAATATATAGCACATCTCTGGCAGAAAATAATTGGGAGTGGGGTGAAGTAGTCTTCTAATTTACAAATGTACTATTCATTTTAAAAAACCCAAAACGCACACACACACACACACACACACACAACATAACAGATTGCCTAGGAGTGTCTGAGTTGCGTTAGCTTATGCAATATTTGGGTCCTGCAAAGTGTACCCCCTTCTGAGCTCCAATGGGTAGATTCTAAGATACATATCCATTAACTAGGCCCATACAAACACACAGGAAAAAAGCAGGTCACTGCAAACTTCAATGTCCCCTGACCCTCCCCCAATCCTCTTTAACAGTGCCACAATTATAGCTCTTCTAGTTGGCTGCATACGATGTTACAAAAGAATCCTTGTAATTTGCCACACTTCCGATCTGTAATGCTATGTTGGCTTTTCCAGGTTTCTGGGTGGAACATTGGGAACTTTGCAGCACACGGTGTTGGAGTGTTTACAGCGGCAGCCAGGCCGATTTACCTGGTCGTAACAGCCCTGGCACAATTTAAGGCAACCCTTGGCCGGCAGGTAGCACCACAAGCAAGGCAGAAAGAGGGATACAACCCCCATGGTGGACCACCGAGTGCAGCAGTGAGACTGGCTACAAGAGCAAGGGTTATCGGCACAGTTGTCCTCATCGTCGTTGGAGCAGTGGTAAAAAAGCCCCTTTACACAGCAGACACAAGTCCCATAATCAACCACATTCTGGGGTGAGCAAAGGCACTGCTTGTCACAGATCCAACAGGAAGGAAGGGTTCGTGGATAAGTGCACTCCTTACACTTACATTTCCCACAGTCCTCACACCGGTAGACATGCATCTGGAGGTCTTCTTTGCTGGGGGGCTTAAGCTCACTCACCTTCAGCTCTGACTTGGGCTGCACTCGGATTATCCCATCCACAACCGTCCCCAAAGATGACCCCAGAAGTCTCTGTTCTGAGGAGTTGCTACTGGTACTTGTCCTTGTACTGGCCCGTGAGCCAGTACTGACTGTGCTAATGGAACGGGACAAGGGGGCTCGAGAAGAGACGTGGGCTGGGGGATGCTGGACCCTGCTGAGATGCCGCTGCTCAGTCAATCCATGTGGCCTCTCACTTTTGTGCTGGGCTGGAGGACGTGATGCAGGTTTTACCCCAGGCCGCGGGGCAACCGTTGGCGGTTCCGTGTACTCATTTGTGTTTCGGATTGCCTTGATCTGGTCCAAGGACAAAACGTGAACTTGCTGCACCAGAACATCCCTTGGGTCAGAGTCACCAAACTGTCTCCCACTGTCATGCTGACTCCGTAGTAAGGGCTGTGACCCGCTGCCATTCTGAGCTCTTGTCTCCATCAGTACTCTGAAGAGTGATCACTCCAGGAGGGTTAGAACACATCTGAATTCCTATGAAAGAGGAAGAGAGGATTAATGTTTCCCCCTTTTTAAGAAACCTTTTCATGTGATATTTGGAGGGCAGTAGTGGTTGTTTTGCCATGCAACATGCTTTAGAATCTTATACATCATAACACTCAGCCACTGAAAACAAAGACAACCCAACTTTTACTTTAAAGTACCTAATATCAGTGAAAGGGACCTTTCTTTATGGAACTCCTAAATGCAAATCAGTTCTACAGATAATACAGACTTTTCTCTAGATATTCATTCATTTCTGACTCAGTACCACACCTGGATATTGTCCCCATAAGGTTGCTGTTAACACAAACTTAGGGCCCTTCCACAAAGTCCTATATCCCAGAATATCTGTTTTGAACTGGGTTATCCGAGTCCACACTCAGATAATGTGGGATTTTCTGCCTTGATATTCTGGGATATGGGGTTGTGTGGAAGGGCCCATAGAGAAAGCTTAGTTGACCTCCTAAATCCATATTTCAGAGGGCTATCACTTTACACTTTGACACATGCACCTGTGTGATATTTGTTTTCAAGCACTCCTTTTGTCTTATCCACATTTTATATTTCCATGCCTTTAAAACTATAACAAGTGAAGAGGGTTGAAATATGTCATCCACAATTTCTACTTGTGGCATGTGAAGAATTTTAAACTTTTCACCAAATACTTCAGGTGATGTATTTCAAGAATGCAGGTTTATCTTAAGAACATTTGCATAAGGGCCACTTAGAAGACTATGACTTGCCACACTTTCCCTGCCATCCACCCATGAAAGACAGGCAAGGCTGTTTTTCCAGAGAAAGGAGATCACCTCTGTACCCTACATACCACTGTTGTAATTCAACCAGTCCTTGTTGTGTTCCTTCAAGTAATTCTGGACTCATGGCCCAAAAGAGCAATTGTCACAGGTGTTCATGGCAAGAGTTGTTCAGAGGGAGTGTTCTTTTGTGTTCCTTTAAGGCTGAGAGACTGTGACCTGTCCAAGGTCACCCAGCTGGTGTCCATGGTTGTGCAGGGATTCAAACTCTGATCTCCACAGTCATAATCCAGTGCTGAAACCACTACACCATGATAGCTCTCATAATTCAACCATGCTTACAAGTAAAATAGGATCTGCTAATGTCAGGTCTGTGTCCAGTGCAAATCTAGCTTCTCTGTACTTCAATCACATAGAAATGAAATTTAAAATTCGGATGCAATGTTTTCTCCAATAAAAACACCAAGAAGGAATGGGGTTTCTGCGGTCCTCCTTAAGTTAATGCAGTGCCAGATCTTAACAGTATGAACAAAGCATCTTTCTCCAGAATTTTCATAATGATCCCCCCATTTTGCAATTCTAAGTACTTGTACCTGAACATCACAATGCTGGGCACTGTAAAGGCTTTTATTGTACATTCATAACACCTAGAGATAATCCATTTACTTCCTGGATGTTGCCAGCAGAGGTGGTTTGGCTTACAAATATCTTGCGTGCAAACTATAAATCACATGGTTCCAGGAAAAGGCATATAACAATACTGCTCCAATGTAAACCATGCTACAAGCAGGATGTTATTTTATATGGAAGCTTAATAAACCATACACCACAAAGTAACAAAACTGTCAACATGAAACACTTTTTAAAGTTTGCTGTATAAAAAAGTGGATTTCTCACAACCTAGTTTGCAAAGCCTTGTGCCTGGCATACGACTTAGTTTACAAAGTTATATTTTGCTGAAGGAGAACGGTATCAAGCAAATTAATCTCACTGTAATCCTATGCATATCTGGGAGCATGCTTCACTGAATTTGGTAGAAGGTACGTTGGAGTAAGTTTAAGTATAAGCTTAGGCTCCAAATCCCAGTGAACTCTGCAGGACTTCTTTCATGCATTAGACCACTGCCATCCTATACTCCTTCACTTTCAAGTTAAACAAAGTAAACTCTATGGGACTGCTTGAACTTACTTCTCAAAAAGTCTGAGGCAAATTTGTTTTTTAAAGGTACCACACAGAAAACCCAAAAGCATCCACATATGTGGGATGTGGTTTCCCAAAAGGTATCAAATTCTTCTGAACTAATTTTACAGGAATTGAGAAGAAAGTGCTAAGGATGTGCATTCTTTTGCTAGAAAATGCAATTTTCCAAGCTCTGGATGGATAGCTTGATAGTTTTCATCAGTGCATAATACTCCACTCCTACTACCTCATCACACTAGAGAATGGATCCACTTTAAATCTGGTTTCTGCCTCCTGTAGAATTCTGGGGTTTGTAGATTAGTGCTGCCACCTGTAATTTGGTATTTTTTGGAAACCAATACCACATAAGTATCTTCAAGTTGCCTATTGACTTGTAGTGACAGCATGCATTTTATATGGTTTTTTGAAGCAAGTAATATTCAGTCCTTCCTCTGAAATACTAATTGGCAGTATCCCACCTCAATACTAACCAGGGCTGACCCTATTTAGCTTTTAATCACCTGCTGTAATGGCTAGGTGAGAGACATGGCATATAGCTCTCCACTCTATATTTCAAAGCCATGAAAAACCTATTAACTTCAACATTGTGGGCCTAAATGAATCCTACTTCCAAGTAGACTTGCACTGGACCAGGTTGCAGATCAGTCCAGAACTCATCACGATAAGATCTATCTGGGATCTTCCCTTCTTCTATTCACCAAATACTGCTGGGCACCATTTCTTCTTCTCCTAATTACAAGATTCTCTTCCTTTTCTGTATCAATCAAGTAAGAACGTAGCAGGTGGCATCTCAGGAGCCTGTCTGCTTTCCTCTAGGTTGCCCTGCCCTGCCTCAAAGGAACCCCCCACGGGGAGACAGGAGACAACCTGGAGATAAACAGGAGACATCCTGGTGGGAGGGAAGAGAGGAGTGAATAGCGCTTCTAATAAGATTGCCTTATCAGGAGAGCTTGGCGGCCTTCCCTTCCTTCCTCCTCCCAGCAGGAGATGGTGAAGGGCTCTTTCCGCACTTCAGTTATGTAAAAAGCCTCCTCCATTTCTGTCTCCACTCCAAATCACCTTCTAGGCAGGTAGGGAGATGGATGCTTCCACTTTACAACACGTGCCCAAAATAAATGCCTCCCAATCCTACTAAACTCCAAGATCTAAGTAGTCCCTTCTCTTAAGAAGGTTTCCCCCTCCAGCGCTTGCTAGGCATTTTGTCTAATTTGTGTAAATTTCAAGCAAATCCCCATCTCATGAATTACAAAGTAGCACTCTGAACTCTCTTTCTCTCTCTCTTTCCTGTCTTTTTGCATTACAAGCAGTTTCCCCACCTCTGAGGATGGGATTGCCCCAGGAAAAAGCTCATTCTCACCCCACAGAGATCCAGCAATATCTGCCATTCAGGCAAGACAGGGCTATTTTCTCCCCTCCTCAACTGAAACACACCCTGTTTTTCTGCTAATATGACACAGTTGTTGAAAGCAAGGAGGCAGGGCAGGCACACACGCATGCAGGCCAGTCTTGAAAAGTTTTTTTTTTTGTGCCTCGCTGCTTAAGGATTTGTTGGAACGGATGAGCTCACACGCTTGCCAAATGCCAAAGTCCATTCAGGGGCAAAAGAAAAAAAAAAGTAATAGTTTCCTCTCTGGTTAAATAATTCTGCCAAGGGGGGGGGGGGGGAGAGAGAGAGAGAGGAGAGGGAGGTGAAGGGTCTTGGTTAGTCAGTTTGCTAAGGATCTGTATGGCACATAACTCCAGGGATCTTTTCTCCAGGAAAAGGCAATGGGAAACTTTTCTTCAAAAGCAAATGATATTTGAGGGTTCAGGGGCCTTTGCAACATCTTTATGAGGTCCCCGCACTCACTCCCATATTCAGTCCTGTGATCAGTCTATGCAAATGAAGGGCAAATGAAGCCAGATGCAAGAAAGGAAGATCAACAGCCATTTCTAACACAATACAACTTTTTCAATGAAAAAGGAAGGCGGAGGGGAGGCATGGAGCAGATGTCAAAAAGGGCTGTTTTCAAGGCAATAGGTAGCGAGAGATCTCTCCTTTCCTTCCTCTCTCCCTTCACAACTAGATAAGATAGATTACAGATAGATTTTATGGTGATCCCATGAACCTCAGGGCTTTCTTAGGCAAGGAATACTCCAAATGGGCTTTGTTACTTTCTTTCTCTGAAATATAGTCTGTATTTCAGAGAAAGGAATTGGCAAAACCACCTCTGGGTTTTAGAAAACACCCTGAGATTCATGGGTTTGTCTTAAGCCTTGAAAGGCCAGCACATACACACACATGAAGCAAAACAATGCAGATTTCAACTAGGCAATCACTCACTTCCGATCTGCACTCGCACAGACTTCACCAACTCCAGCAGTGGCAAAGAAGGCGGCTTTTAAAAGGACACCTAAGGGTGCATCTACACGGGCAAACGAAGGTGGTTTGGCACCACTCAATGATAGGGAATTCTGCAAGGCCATTCACTGCTAATCAAGATAGCCATTTGCAACATTCACACTTGCCTCAAGCAGGCAAGAGCTCTTTCTCCCACCTTGGGCATTCCAGATATATAAACCTCACTTGCCTAGTTTCCAACAGACCCCTCAACCTCTGAGGATGCCTGCCATAGATGTGAGTGAAACATCAGGAGAGAATGCTTCTGGAACATGGCCATACAGCCCAGAAAGCTCACAGTAACCCAGTGATCCTGGTCGTGAAAGACTTCAACAACACATAAGGAATTCTAGTTTATGCCTCCTTCCACAGAGTTGAACAAAATCCCACAATATCTTATTTGAACTGAGATATACGGCAGTGTGGAAATACTTTTTCAGGACCCTTCCACATAGCCCTATAACCAAATCTATCAAGGCAGAATATCAATATCTGTTTTGAACTGGGATATATGGCAGTGTGGACTCAGATAACCCAGTTCAAAGCAGATATTGATATTCTGCCTTGATAGTCTTGGTTATAGGGCTATGTGGAAGGGCCCTGAAAAAGTATTTCATCTTCTGCCAAAGAGTGCTGGTGCCTCACCAAACTAAAACAGCCAAGATTGTATAGCACTGAGCCAGGACAATTCAAGTGGTGTCGAAGTGCATTAATTTTGCAGTGCAGATGTGTCCTAAGAAGGGCAACAAGCAAGTGAAGTTGGGGGTTGGGGTTGGACAAGATTTTCACTTGACAGGATCCTGTCAGGCACACATTTCTTGGCAGAGCTACACTGTAACCCTAGTTTTCCCATCTACACAGTAGGATTAATGCACTTTGATGCCACTTGAACTCCCATGGCTGCAAATGGTGGGATCAATGTAACTGTAGTTTGACAATGTCTTCAGAAAAAAGAGTGCCAATGTACAACTCCTATAATTCCATAGCATGGTGCCGGGACAGTTCCAAATGGTGCTAAACTGCATTCATTCTACAGTGTGGAACAGCCCAAAGCTCCTTTGGGAATTGGGGCAAATCTGTCACTGGCCAAACCATCTGAAAGGAAGTGACTCTCCAAGCTTTCAGTCTATGGGCCCTTCCACACAGCCGTATTATCAAGGTGGAAAATCCAATATAATGCTTTGAATTGGGTTATCTGAGTCCACACTGCCATATAACTCAGTTCAAAGTAGACAACATGGGATTTTGTATTGTCAAAGGCTTTCATGGCCAGAATCACTGGGTTGCTGTAAGTTTTCCAGGCTGAATGGCAATGTTCTAGAAGCATTCTCTCCTGGCATTTCACCTGCATCTGTGGCAGAGTTTGTGAGGATGCCTGCCACAGATACAGGTGAAATGTCAGGAGATAATGCTTCTGGGACATGGCATACAGCCCAAAACACTTACAACAACCCAATGTGTGATTTTTATTTAGCTGTGTGGAAAGGGCCCGAGAAACCTCAGAAACCTCTGAGGATGCTTGCCACAGATGCAGGCGAAACATGAAGAGAGAATGCCTCTAGGACATGGCCATATAGCCCGAAAAAACCTACAACAGCCCAGTGATTCGGGCCATGAAAGCCTTGACAATACATTAAACCTTGGAAACATCCCCTCCCTCAAAATCCGACCCCTTTCCTGCAAAGAAGGGGGAAAAGTCATGCAGCCAAAGTTTGCCCTCTTCCTTCTCCCCAGGGTCCTTCCAAACAGAATATCAAGGCAGAAAATCCCACAATATCTACTTTGAACTGGGTTGAGTCCACACTCAGATATTGTGGGATTTCCTGCCTTGATATTCTGGGATATAGGGCTGTGTGGAAGAGCCCCGAGTCCACACTCTCATAATGTGGGATTGTAGTTGTAGCCTGAGTCTTTCCCTCTCTTCTTCCCAAGGCGCTTGTTTCCTGCAAAAAGGGGGGGAATCTCCCCATCCGTTCCATTAACAACACACAGAGACACAAATACTCTCTTCTTCCCTTCTTTCCCCTTTGATTTCTTCTTCTTCTTCCCAATCCAAACCCACCAAAACATGAAACCAAAGCCTTCTTGATTCCCTCCCCACAAAAAACCACCCCAACTCACTTCAAGTCCAGGTTGCAAGCCAGAAGAATCATTGAGACGTCGGCTTGCTGAGTTCCCTTTCCGAAATCCAAGGAGGGGGAAAAGTCGCGTCCCACCTTCCTTTATTTTTCCCCCGGAGGCGAATAAATAGCAACCCAAACCAATCTCAGAGCTGTTTGTGAAGGCGCCCCTTTTTCTGTCAATCGGGGCGAGGTTGCCTTGTCCTCTCTCTCTCTCTTTCTCAATGAACCAGAGGTCTCTTCGTCAATCCGGAGTCGCTCCCAAGCCAGGCATCACTACACTACAGAGGAAGGCATGGCCAGAGACGTCGAGAAGGGGCTCGAAGGGAGAAAGCTTGGGCTGTTCCCCGAATTAAGATCCCAAAAGTGGCTTTGGAGGTTTCTTCTCTAGCGGCGGCGAGGATCTCAAGCAAATCTGGGAGAAGAGAGACAGTGCAGACGGGCAATCGAGGCTGGAAGGTGGCTGCGTGACTCCGAGCGCTGTTTGTGCAGAAACGTGGGCTCGCGCGTGTTTTCTCTCTCTCTCTCTCTCTCCAAGGTGCGCGAGACCCCCAAGCCAAGCCAGACTTAGAAGGCTTTCTGGAAAGGCAGGGAAGCCAAGCAAGAAGGGGGAGAGAGGAGGAGGAGGAGGAGGAGGAGAAGGAGAAGCCCCCCGCCTGCTGCTTGCTTCCCCCGCTTTCCCTGCGCTGGAGCAGGAAAAGGCAGCTTTGAGATCCGGGCGCCAGGAGCGGCGGCGTTTTTCTGCCGCCTCCCCTCCTTCCCTGGCTCGCTTTCCTTCCCACCCCTCCTTTCCCCTCCTTCCCTCCCTCCTTTTCTTCTTCTTCTTCTTCTTTCCGGAGGAGGCAGGGTGAGCTCTCTCCGCTCAAAGCCGCAGTAAATGGCGTCATGTGGATCCGAGGAGGAACAGAGCAGTTGTTGTCCCGGAGGATATATCGCATCCGGTCCCGCCTCGTTGCAACCTCACCCCCCCTCCCCTTTTCTCCCTCTTCCTCCCCCCTCCCTCCTCGCCCGAGCGCCAGAATGGGGGCGCGTGTGCGCATGCGCGCGCGTCCCTCCTTTCCCTGCCCGCCTGCCTGCTCGCTTGGGCTCGGCTTCTCGCCGCTCATTCAAAAGGGCAACGCCGGCGGAGACACACTCCAGAGCAGGGCTTCTCAACCTTCTTCATGCCGAGAGCCCTTAATACAGTTCCTTCTGTTGTGGTGACCCCCCCCCCCAATAATATTATTTTCGTTGCTACTTCACAACTCTTAATTTTGCTCCTGGTATGAATCGTAATGTCAATATCGAATATGCAAGTTGAATTTTAGCCATGTATAAATGTGTGAGAGGAAGTCATAGGGAGGAGGGAGCAAGCTTGTTTTCTGCTGCCCTGGAGACTAGGATGCAGAACAATGGTTTCAAACTACAAGAAAGGACTGAACAATAAGAACAACTTCCTGACTGTGAGAGCTGTTCAACAGTGGAACTCTCTGCTCTGGAGTGTTGCAGAGGCTCCTTCTTTGGAAGCTTTTAAACAGAGGCTGGATGGCCATCTGYCGGGGTTGCTTTGAATGCATTCTCCTGCWTCTTGGCAGGGGGTTGGACTGGATGGCCCATGAGGTCTCTTCCAACTCTATGATTCTATGATTCATTTATTGGACCAAATTTGGCACAAATACTCGATATGCCCAAATTWGAATACTGGTAGRGTTTGAGGGAGGGGTTGATTTTGTCATTTGGGAGTTGTAGTTGTTAGGATTTATAGTTCACGTACAATCAAAGAGCATTCTGAACTCCACCAACGATGGAGTGGAACCAAACTTGGCACAGGGAACTCCAAAGACAAACAGAAAATACTGGGTTTGGTGAGCATTGACCTTGAGTTTTGGAGTTGTAGTTCACCTASATCCAGAGAGCACTGGGGACTCAAATACATGGTGGATCTGGACCAAATTTGGCACGAATACTCAATATGCTTAACTGTGGACACTGGTGGAGTTTGGGGAAAATAGACCTTGACATTTGGGAGTTGTGGCTGCTGGGATTTATAGTTCACCTACAATCAAAGAGCATTCTGAACTCCACCAACGATGGAATGGAACCCAACTTGGCATACAGAACTCCCATGCCCAACAGAAAACATTGGAAGGGTTTGGTGGGCATTGACCTTGAGTTTTGGAGTTGTAGTTCACCTGCATCCAGTGAACACTGTGGACTCAAGCATATGATGGATCTGGACCAAATTTGGCATAAATACTCAATATGCCCAAATGTGGACACTGGTGGAGTTTGGGGAAAATAGACCTTGACATTTGGGAGTTGTGGTTGCTGGGATTTATAGTTCACCTACAATCCAAGAGCATTCTGAACCCACCAACAATACAACTGGGCCAAACTTCCCACACAGAACCCCCACAACTAACAGAAAATACTGTGTTTTCTGATGGTCTTTGGTGACTCCTCTGACATTCCCCTTGTGACCCCTATAGGAGTCCCGGCCCCCAGGTTGAGAAACCCTGCTCTAGAGTGGCTGCTCAGTTCTGCAGTGGGAGAGAAGGGGCTTTGAAGAGGCTGTGTTCTTCTCCGCCTTTATTTATTTATTGTATCAGGAGCAAACCAAACAGTTGTATTTTAAAAAAATAACAAATTTTGAAAACCTGGCATTATATTAAATGTCCTTTTACCAGTAGCTGGCCACTTGGAGTGCCTCTGGTGTTACTGCAAGAAGGTCCTCCATTGGCAGGGCTCAGATTGCATTGTAATAGGTGGTCTGTGGTTTGTGGTGGTCTGTGGTTTGCTCTTCTCCACACTCGCATGTCGTGGACTCCACTTTGTAGCCCCATTTCTTAGGTTGGCTCTGCATCTCATGGGGCCAGAGCACAGTCTGCTCAGCGCCTTCTAAATCACCCAATTTTCTGTATATTGACAAAGGCTTTCATGGCTGGAATCACTGTGTTGTCGTAGGTTTTTCGGGTTTTATAGCCATGGTCTAGAAGCTTTTTCTCCTGACGTTTGGCCTGCATCTGTGGCAAGAATCCTCAAGGTTGTGACATGTTCTAGAAGAGTTTTCCAGGAGAAAATGCTTTTAGAACATGGCAATACAACCTAAAAAAACCTACAACAACCCGCCCAGTTTTCTGTGTGCCCAGAAGGGAGTCTCTCATCTGGTATCAGCCATTGACGGAGGTTTTGGGTTTTAGCCTGCCACTTTTGGACTCTTGCTTGCTGAGGTGTTTCAGTGAGTGTCTCTGTAGATCTTAGAAAATTATTTCTTGATTTAAATAGTTGGCGTGCTGGCTGATATCTGAATAGGGGATGGGCCTGAGATGTTCCTGCCTTGGTCCTTCCACTATTGGTTACTACTTCCTGGCTGATGTCAGGTGCTGCAATACTGGCTAAACAGTGTAATTTCTCCAGTGGTGTAGGGCACAAACACCCCGTGATAATGTGGAATGTCTCATTAAGAGTCACATCCGGTGCTCTTCGCCTTGAAAATGCAGCATATGGTCAGTGTAGGCTCGTATAGTGTAGTTCTAGGGCAGTGTGGAGGAAGCCAAAGGCAAGGCAGCCACTCTGGAAAGACTCTGGCCTTATCACACTAGAGGAAAAATCCACTTAAAATCCAGTTTCTGTCTCCTGCAGAATTCTGGGATTTGTGGTTTACGAAGGAGCCAGTAACAGACTCACAAAACTATAAACCCCAGAATTCTGTAGGAGACAGAAACCAGATTTCAAGTGGATTTTTTCTCTCTAATGTGATGAAGTTTTGAATGCATCGAACAGGCATGGGCAAACTTCACCCCTCCAGGTGTTTTGGACTTCAACTCCCACTGTTAGGAATTGTGAGAGTTAAAGCCCAAAACATCTGGAGGACCAAAGCTTGCCCATGCCTGTTGTAGAAGCAAGGCAGCCTGAACTGCCCTGGCTCAATGCTAGGGGGTGATAGGAGTTGCACTGTGAAGATGCAAGGCCATTCAGTGCGAATCAAGGTGGCCAGTTACAGCATTCACACTTGCCTCAAGCAGACAAGAGTCCTTTCTCCCACCCTGAGCATTCCACAGATATAAAAACCCCACTTGCCTAGTTTCCAACAGACTTCACAACCTCTGGGTATGCCTGCCCTAGGTGCAGGAGAAACGTCAGGAGAGAATGCTTCTGGAACATGCAAGACAAGAGTCCTACATAAATAAGGCTAACCAGCCAGTATTATTTTAAATGGATTTAATTTTAAACTAATTTAATGTTTTTACTTATATGTAATTATTGTATTTATTATGTTGTATGTGGGAGCATTGAATCGTTGCCGTCTGTAAGCTGCCCTGAGTCCCCCTGTGGGGGTTGAGAAGGGCAGGGTACAAATATTTGAAATAAATAAAAAAGAATGCTTCTGGAACATGCAAGTCAAGAGTCCTTTCTCTCACCCTGGACATTCCACAGATACATAAAGCCCACTTGCCCAGTTTCCAACAGACCTCACAACCTCTGGGTATGCCTGCCCTAGGTGCAGGAGAAACGTCAGGAGAGAATGCTTCTGGAACATGCAAGACAAGAGTCCTTTCTCCCACCTTGGACATTCCACAGATATATAAACCTCACTTGCCTAGTTTCCAGCAGACCACATAACCTCCGAGGAGGCCTGTCACAGATGCAGGCGAAACGTCAGGAGAGAGTGCTTCTGGAACATGCAAGACAAGAGTCCTTTCTCCCACCCTGGACATTACAAAGATATATAAACCTCACTGGCCTTTTTTCCAACAGACCACACAACCTCCAAGGATGCCTGTCATAGATGCAGGAGAAACGTCAGGAGAGAATGCTTCTGGAACATGCAAGACAAGGGCCCTTTCTCCCACCCTGGGCATTTCACAGATACATAAACCTAACTTGCCTAGTTTCCAGCAGACCACATAACCTCCGAGGAGGCCTGTCACAGATGCAGGCGAAACATCAGGAGAGAGTGCTTCTGGAACATGGCCACACAGCCCGGAAAACTCACAGCAACCCAATGATTCCGGCCATGGAAGCCTTCGACAAATACATAGTTGCACTGTGGTTTGGCAGAAAAGGTGAAAGGCCTTGGAAAACTACAGCTCCCAGGATTGCACAGCATTGAACCAGGGCAGTGAAAAGGATTGTCCCATGGAGACCTGGGAGTTGTAGTTTAGGGAGGCACTAGCACCCTTTGGAGGAAAAGCCTCCACGCCTGGTCAAACTACAACTCCATGGCAACTCACACGGTGCCAAACTGCATTCCACCTGCAGTGTAGATGCGCCCCTTATCTCAGAATTCAAGAGGAAAGCTATTACACACGTCAAACTTTGATCCCTGGCTTTACTCGGCCGCTAAGAGGGTGGTGTTTGGCGTCTGCAAAGGGATCGACCCGTGTAAACGGGATGAGTGAAGCCTCAATGAACGAAATGCTTCACTTAAAGGGCAACCCTCACGATCCCATAGCATCGTACCCGGGCAGCTCAATCGTACAGAGGCACCTTTAAAGGCCGAGAGCCTGCCTCCCGCCTTTGCCCCATTGATAAAGCCAGGCGCGGGTCTTAAAGGCGCCGCTACCCCTTTTACCCCAAAAGGAGGTAACTAAATGGCACGCGGTGGGAGGATTGCACCACGAAGGTTGCACTTCCTAAATCCCTTTCTCTTGGAAGAGGGAAGGTAATCCAATCACCTGGCCGAGTGGAGAGGGAGAGAGGGAGGCGAAAGAAAGGGATCAGTCGTTGGATTATCCCCATCGGAGGCTGTGGGGACAAATCTCAGCCTTCCCTCTCCCTGATCGTTTACTAAGGT